GCCGGAAGACGGGCAGCATGCGTAGACAGGGCATCTGAGTGGAGAGTGGAAACTGCAGAAGGGGCTGTGACAATGGTAGGAACAGGCCCCTGGCACCGAGCTGACGCTGCTAACGAGAAGCTGGATCTCACATGGCGACCGCAGTTTGAATCCCCAGCCCAGTCAGCCTGGAACATGTGAAGCACACATTTGAATGCCCAAGATCCAAAGGGCTGGCGGTCTGAAGGAGGTCACGGCATGAACAGACACACGGAGGGGATCTGGTCATCTCTCTCCCTCACTGTCACATGGATGTATTTCATCATGAATAAAGAAGAAAAGAGAAAATGCTAGAAATAAACAGACCAACCACCACAAAATAGGTTTATTCAACTGTATTAACAGAAAAAATAGACTTGGGGCCAGCAGGTGGTATAGTGGTTAAGGGTGATGGACTCCCACATGGCTGACAGCTGTTCGAGTCCTGGACCTGGCGGTTTGGTTTCTCACTTTCCCTCTCTCGCTCTGTCCCTCTCTGGTCAGATTTAAATAAATAAATAAATCTTAAAAAAAATAAATAAAAAAGGAAAGAAAGAAGTAAATATAGACTTAAGAATATTACAGGGATAAAAGATAGTACCGGGCCAGCAGGTGGCATAGGAATTAAGATTCTAGAGTCCCCCATGGTCAACTGCGGTTCAGGTGCCAGACCCAGTGGTTTGAAACTCGTGCCGGGCACGTGTGCATGCATGCTCAAGATCCCAAGTGGAAGATGGAGGAGAAGGGATTGTGGTTTGGTGAGCGCACATGCCCTATAGCAAAAATCTTTTTTTTTTCTTTTTCTTTTTTTTTTTTTTTTTTTTTTTTTAAAAACCGGGCCGGCAGAAGGGCTACATTGCTGGACTCCCACATAGTTTGCAGTTTGAGTCCCAGACCCAGTGGCTTCAAACTCACAGTAACTGGTTTTAAGCAAGAGCATGCGATGCTGCTCTGGTAACTGTGTGGAGCAAAATTTGCTGGAGGAATTCTGGGAAATTTCCTATCAGCGAGAAGAGACAGACCCTTCTTCAGCAGACGTGTCACGCACAGATGTCGCGCCTGACACCGCAGCAACCGCGCTGACACTGCCGCCACTAGCCTGAGGCCGAACCTGGAGCTAACAGGTGGCATGCCTGCTTCTCCAACAGTGTCGTCGGGCACACGAGCTGACCAGTTCTGGGGCTGCCCTGTCTCCAGGCTTCTTACTACTTGAAGTCGGAAGCATTCCACTTTTCAGGCCAGCAGGTGGTGTGAGGTTAAGGGATGGATCCCACATGGCCAGCTGTGCAGTTCAAGTCCTAGACCCAGCGGCTTGAAAATCACTCTGGGCACTTGTGTGTGCATGCTCGAAGTCCCAAGAGGAGAATGGAGAAGGGATGGCAGCATGTTCACCTGCCCTGGGGTGCTTTCTCACTTTTATCCTCTCTGGTAAGTGCATGCATCCTGAAAAAAAACTAAAACTTAAAATAAAAAAGCATCTTGGGGCCAGTAGGTGGCGTGGTGGTTAAAGGCACTGGACTCCCACATGGCTGACTGCGGTTCAAGTGTCAGACCTGGTGGCTTGCTTTCTCACTTTCCCTCTCTCTCTGATCAAACAGGAGAATAATAATAAATAAAGTTGGGACTGGCAGGTGGCTTGGTGGTTAAGGGCACTGGACTCCCACATGGCTGACCATGGTTCAAGACCCGGCCCTGGCGGCTTACTCTCTCTCTTTCTCTCTCTCTCTCTCTGTCCCTCTCTGGTCAAATTAAAATACATAAATAAATAAATAAAGTTAAACGAAATAATTCTATTTTTTTAAAAAGCATCTCAGTTTTCACCTTCTCTTCCTCTCTTTTTTTAATTGCTGAGGGCACATGTGTTCGCCAGAGAGACAGGGAGAAACAGAGAGAGGGATTAAGCACCCCCCATAGGGTGTGATCACACTGTAATCCCTTGTTCTCCTCTCCTCATCCTGTCAAGAGCTTCAGTATACATACAAGAGCCTGGTGTGTTTTTCCAGCCTCCAGGTCCAGGTCTCGAACTGTGTGGTCAGCCATATGGGATCCAGCTCCCTTAACCAGTAGGCTATGGGACTGGCCCCTCAATTTTCACCTTCCAGTGTGCCCCCTCCTCACACCCCTACACACATACCTGCCCAGTAGGGCCCATCGTTGCTCACCGCTGGGAGCTATTTTCATTCAGCACATAGTTCTATGGCATTTACCCTGTGCCAGCACAGTTAACCTGCTTTATAAGTAGTCACCCGTCTAATCCTTACAACTGCCCTGCACAACCGACACTTTCGTTATCGCTCTTTCAGAGGAGGAAGCCCAGGCATAGAGGTTAAACAGCTGCCTCACAGTCAACGGTAGAATCAGAGCCAAGACTTGAACCCAGTCCTGACTGAACTCTCAGTGCTCATAAGCATCCCATTGCCTCTGGTGTTTCCTCCTCGATTTACTTGTCTGGCTTCCATAGAAGATAGACTTTTGAGAGCAGGGGTCTTGATTATGTTGTTCACTGCATGGCTGCAGGACACTCGGTAGGACATAGCCTTTGTTAGATGGGTGGGAGGGTGCGTGGGTAGATGGGTGGGTGGGTGTGAATGAGTGCTGAATGGATAAGTAGATGAGTGCATGAATAAGGGAGTGGGTGAGCGAATGAGTAGGTGAGTGAGTGAGTAAATGAATGGTGAATGGGCAGGAGAATGAGTGGGTGAGCAAATGAGAGGGTGAGCGAATGAGGAGATGAGTGAGTGAGTGAATGGGTGAGCAAATGAGTGAGTGAGTAAATGAATAGGTGAATGGGCAGGAGAATGAGTGGGTGAGTGAATGAGTTGGTGAGCAAATGAGTGGATAAGTGAATGAGTGGTGAATAAATGAGTAGGTGAGTAAATAGGTAAGTGGGTATGTGAATGAGTGGGTATGTGAGAGTAGGTGAGTGAGTGGTGAATGAATGATTAGGTGAGTGAATGAGTGGGTGGGTAGATGGATGGATGGTGGGTAGATGGATGGATGGACAGTGGGTGGGTGGATGGATGGATGGATAGTGGGTGGATGGATGGATGGTGGGTGAGTGGATGGATGGATGGACAGTGGGTGGGTGGGTAGATGGATGGATGGTAAGTGGATGGATGGATGGATGGTGGGTGAGTGGATGGATGGGTGAATGGTGGGTGGGTGGATGGACAGTGGGTGAGTGAATGGATGGATGGACAGTGGGTGAGTAGATGGATGGACAGTGGGTGGGTAGATGAATGGATGGATGGTGGATAGATGGATGGGTGAATGGTGGGTGGATGGATGGATAGTGGGTGAGTGGATGGATAGTAGACTCTGGTTCCTTGAGGAAAGGACAGTTTTCCATGGCCCGAGGCCTGGAAAAGAGCTGAACATTCCTTGACAACTAATGATGGGGGCCTTTGGAGTGAGCCCGTTGCTGGAGCCCCTCTCCCGGGCCCCTGGGAGGCCTGTGCAGAGGTCCCAGGAGTCCTCACAAGCGTGGCCCTTTGTTTGGCCTGCCCTCTGTTGCCGGGTGCTGTCGTGGCCGGCTCCCTCATCCCTTCCCTGCAGAAGAAAGGAGTTGGCCCTCTTCCCCTTGGCACTCCTCACGCTCATTTGAAGTTCCCGAGGCTGGGCCCACTGGGCAGCCAAGCTGCCATCATTAATCACACTGCCTACCGCTGCCTGCCCACGCGGCCGGCTTTGAGGGCTGGCCAGAGCCTCTGGTGGGAACTGCTTGCAGCTCTAATTGGGCCTCTCCTGGGAGGCAGCAGGCCCCGAGTCCCACTCGTCTGTGCCCTGGCGGCTGCCTCGCCCCCTCAAGCAGGGCAGCCTGCTTCCTGGTCCGGCTGGCTCTGCGGCCAGCCAGGGCAAGAGATCGCCCTTGTTCTATAGATGGAGAAGCAGGAACCCTGGGCTAGGCTGGGTCCCTGCCCAGGGCCACACAAGGCCGGGCGGTTGCCAGGAGTAACCACCAGGAAACCGAGTGCCAGGGCCGCTCTTCACTCTGCTGGCAAGTGGAATGAGTTCCCACAGGAAAAGAGGCCTCCCTTGGCTCTCGGGGCTGCCCAGGCCCTGCCAGACACCGGGCACAGGACGCTGGCTTCTGTGCCCACGACGTATCCACGTGAGAACCCTCACACGGCCCCAGGCCTGCCAGCTTGCAAAGACACAGATGGCAGAGCCCCTCTGGGGCACAGTGGGCTGCAGGTTGCGTTTCTCCCGTGACCGCCGCAGCCTGTGTCTCAATTTGCCCTTCCTGGAAAATTGAGAGTTTCGGATGCACCACGCCAGGGCCTGGGGGGCCTCATCTGTGAGGGCTGGTCAGTCAGGCTCAGGGACATCCCGAAGATGGTGGGCCCAGCTCGGCAGGACTGGCTCCAGGAGAAGCCCCCAGGCCCTTCCTCAGCTGCTCATTCTTGTTTTTTTTTTCCTTCCTTCTCCTCCAGTCTCCTCTCGGGATTTCGGGCATGCATGCACATGCGCCTGGAGTGATTTTCAAGCCACCAGGTCCAGTGATTTTCAAGCCACCAGGTCCAGCACTCAGACCGTAAAGGATCGGACATGTAGGGTCCAGCAGCCTTAACCTCCACTGCTTGTCCCCACCTGGCATGGTTTTTAAGCCACGGGAGCTTGGATCTGAACCACGGTCAGCTGCGTGGGATCCAGCTCCCTTAACAACTAGGCCTTGGCTCCAACCCTCCGTTCCATTTGTAAAGTCTACATGGATTTTACACTTTACTCTCTGGCTGTACTGGTTTTCATTTTACTTATATTTTAAAAATTGGGACCAGGGAATCAGCAGTTAGCGTAATGGCTATGTTGCTGGACTCCCACGTAGTCGACCGCGGTTCACGTCCCAGACCCGGTGGCTTAAAACTCACACCAGGCGTGTGTGCGTGCGTGTGTGCATGCCCAAGATCCTGAGAATGGAGGAGAAGGGATTGCGGTGTGACCATCCCCTCTGGGGAGTGATTTCTCGCTTTCTGTCTCTATGTCTCTCTCTGGCGAGCACACGTGCCCTATAGCGAAAACCTCTCAAAAAAAAAAAAAATTGGGAACCAGCAGTTAGCGTAATGGCTATGTCGCTGGACTCCCACG